AATTTTGAGAACATCACCAGTAGTACCAAAACGTTGATTCCACGGAGTAAATTGACTTGCACATTGTTGATTGTGTTTTTGATTTATGGTGTTGGTGTTATTTAAGTTTATCTGATGATGATTATGCTTTTTTTTTTTTTTTTAGGAAGGGAAGTATTTGGTTTTGTTGGCGTGAGAAACGTTTTACATTTAGACTAACTTACTTGTTAGGATTAAAAACTAACTGAAAGTATGTAGTTTTCTCGGTATACTGCTTTACATTTGAGTAACCTTTTTTTTTTTTTTTTTTTTTTTTTTTTTTCTTAGTAAGGGTTAATGATTACGAAGCTTGATGTGTGACAGATGCTAAAGATGGATAATTATGGGTTAGGGGGAAAGCAGGGTATTTAGAGTTTGCACAGGTGTTGTAGTAGTAATTCAGGGGAAGCTGTGGAAACCATTAGTTTAAGGGTAAATGTTGAAAGAGATTAAGATGAATGAATGAAATAGAGAAAGAAAAAGATAGAAATATGGTGAGGATGAAAAGACAATAAAGAGAAAATTGTGTGTGTGTGTGTGTGTGTGTGTGTGTGTGTGTGTGTGTGTGTGTGTGTGTGTGTGTGTGTGTGTGTGTGTGTGTGTGTGTGTGTGTGTGTTTTTGTGTGTTTTTGTGTGTTTTTGTGTGTTTGTGTGTTTGTGTGTTTGTGATATATATCTATAATATATAAATTTTATTTATATATAGTATGTATATATTATGTATACATGTATATCATACATATATATACATGTGTATATATATATATATTATATAGACATTATATATATTATATATATACATGTATATAAAATCTATACATGTATTTATGATATATACATTTTATATATATGTAATATATATAGTATATGTAATATATATAGTATATGTAATATATATAGTATATGTAATATATATAGTATATATATATAGTATATATATATATACATATATATATACATATATACATATATATACATATACATACACATGCATATATACATACATACACATACATATATACACACATACGCATACATATATGTATATGTATATATATATGTTACAACCATATGTATACACACACACACACACACACACACACACACACACACACACACACACACACACACACACACACACACACACACACACACACACACACACACACCTACACACACACATATTTATTTATTTATATATTTATGTATTTATGTATTTATATATTTATATATTTACATATTTATGTCTAAATATATATATATATATATATATATATATATATATATATATATATATATATATATATATATATATATCATAGGAAGATTTTGACAGAAAGTCATACTGTAGTGTGTAGAGAGGGGATGACGAAAAAAGAATAAGAAAAAGAGGGAGGGGAGAGGTAGTATTGAATAATAGGGGAGGGAGGGCAGGTGATTGGTTGGTTGGAAAAGAGAACAACACTGAATAGAGGATGTGTAGGAGGATGGCTGAAGCTTTAGGTGATGGGTGTGATAAGGCCTGTTATTCATATTTTTTCATTTATATATTTGATGAGGAGACATTATTATGACTTCTCTCTTACATTGTACTATCTTGCATTAATTTGTTTGTCTTTGTTTTCCTTTCTTATGTGAAAGTGCTTTGCATTCAGCTATGTAATTAAATTTTTTAGACATTCTTTTTTATGTGTGTGTATTTGATCATAGCTTTTGCAAATTGAAATAACCATTCCAGAATTCTTAACTAAATCCTCCCCACCACTGTAAACCCTATGACAAAAATGTGTCGTAACATTTATCAGAATGGAGAGCATTGAGGCTGGAGGCAGTCCTCACAGGGAAGAATTTGCCGAAAACGACTCTGGTGCTGCCTCAACCCACGACAGACCGCGTGACAGGGAGCACCACAGTGAGGGTCCCAAGGAAGGCCATGACTCCCATGAGGTGGCTGCTGGAGGTAACGGCAATGGCGAGGGGGAAGGCGGGCCCAGCGGAGTGCAGGTCACCATCCGTGCCGACGGGGAGCGAGCCGTGAACAGTGAGGGCCACGTGAGGACGCGGGTGGCTGGTCGCCTCTTTGTTGAACTCAGATGTCCACATTGCCCGAGCCAGAGGTCCATTACTTTCAAGGTAGGAGCTTCTAAGCATGAGTCTGGAAAGGCACAAATGTCTTGAAGGGAAGAAAGAAAGAAAATGAATATCAGAATGCTTGTGACTGGTTACAACAGTCCAAGTAATTTTTTTCCTTTATTCACTTTGATGTTAGTTGGCTCCTGATATGAAACTTAATCTTACAAGAGCAGTTCGTTTGTTATATTACTGAAAGCCTAAGTATGTAACTCTTTTATATACAGAAAAAAAATATTGTAAGAATTGGCTTCAATTACACCATACCATCATAACATACAAACCATTGATTTTTTTTTTTTTTTTTTTCTTCTTCTTCAAATCCTAGTGACATTCAACCCTTAAATCTCAGAAGCTAACACATATATCACAGTTTTGTTTAACTATTTATATGTATGGTCTTAGCTGTAAAATGAGAATATGAGAAAAAGAAGTAAATGAATTTTATTCCACATACATAGTATACTTAACTTTCACAGACAGCTTAATAAGCTAAAACTTGAGATCCCTGGTTCATAATAGTAGATACTAATAAGGTGATTAGTCCATTACTGCCGAACTATACCTATAGCCATCATGATCTGCTGGGTACAGCTATACTAGATATACTAGGTCAACACAAACTAATCCTTTAGCATCTAGAATCCTTCTTTTTTGTGTGTGCAGCAGAATAGTTTTATAAAGTCTGTGTATTTCATCTCAACCTTGCATAGCTAATAGAATATAATTGTATATGCAGCAGAGATGACATCCTCAGAATTAAATACATGTGTGAGGATATAGCAATGTTTGCATTTTCCATTACAATATATTACTTACATTTTAGTACCCTCATTTCCTCTCTAGCTGAAAAAGGATATATAAATGAAATAAACAATTAAAACAAAAGAAATACATATTTTCAGATTCATCTAATCTTCAATGTTTTCCCACAGGAGTACAAGTTCCACCTGGGAAGCGAGGGACACAAACAGCAGCTGAACCGGCTGGCTAGGAAGCACTCTGTGGTGCTGAGGAAGATCAGGGTCCAGCAGAGACAGGAGCAGAAGGAGATTGAGGCAAAGTGGCGCGAAGAAAATGGCGAGGAGTTTAAGTCAGCTGTTACTAGGTACTGCTGTGTTACTTTGTGTTTTGTATAGTGTATTTTATTGCCATGATTGGTTATGATTTTTAGAGTTCATTATGATTTTCTACCCTTTTTATCATTCTTTCATTCCTTGCATGCAAATAGCTTATTTGTGTTATTCAGTCATCTTGGCTGATACTTTTTTTTTTTTCTCTTCCTATTATAATCAAGAATTTTTAACATAGTTTACATGATTTGTATTTTGCTCAAGGTAAAAGCCTAAAATCTTGCAATGTTAGAATTCAGATAGAAGTTTTCTTCAGATGTCTAAAAATACAGTACAACATATGGAATGTTCGAAATAGTCAATGAAATGGCTGTAGAGGTACAATGTATACAGGCTGCAAGCACAACTCATTGTAACTACACCCTATTGCTGTGGGTTTACAGTTCATTTTCAAGTGTTTATCTGAAAGCCAATGTTCTTTGCTTGAAATGAGGGAAGACACAGAGCAGCAGACAGGGAGGGGGGAGAGGGTGATTAGTAGAGTGGATACCATCATTTAACAAAGGTAAGTTGCTCTTGTTTCTATTGCTTGTTCATGCTGAACCTCAAAATTTGTTTTGTGGAGCAAAAGGTATATTGTGGATTTACTACCAGTTGGACTTTGTTGAAAATTTGAGAAAGGGTTGAACAAATCAAGATGAACAATGTGGAACATTCATACTCACAGAAAGGACATATAACATTATGGAACTATAAAATTTCATGCCCCCAATTAGCAGTCTATACTTTATTTTTGGTAGTTTTAGAAACTGTAGGTCACAAGTATGACATCTTTTACAGGTAATCTAGATATACAAAGATTATATTCATAATAGTCAATTGACATTGCTTGTTATAAGGAGAGTGTATTCAGAATGTCATTCTGTCATATTGTTTTGAGAAACTTTGAAAGGTTCAAACTTGATCAGTTGTCAAGCACTGATCTTCAACAATTTCATTATGTAAATATCTGGAAAGTTACAGAAATATATGTAAAGATATTACTAGTGTAGGCAAAGTGAAGTCAAGAAATTTGTGAGCATTTCTGATAAAAAGGAATGTATTACACATACAAATAGGAAAGGTGAATACTGTGCACATAGACCCCTGGTAAATGTAATCAAGATACTTAAAAGAATCAGATAATAGTTGTAACTAATAGTAAATATCATTCATGTTAGCTTATCTTTTATTAATTGTATTTCTCTTGCTTCTTGTCATAACCCCAGGTTCTGCAGTACATGCAAGCTAGCCTTCAAGTGTCTGGGCAAAAACTCAAGTGATGGCATAAGCCACCACAGCAGAAGCAAGCTACATAGGGTGAGTTGGAATGATATTGATATATATATATTTTTTTTCCATTTTGGTAAAATACCCAATAAGGAAACCTTGTTTCAGTGGTAGCATGTGTTGGACGTGTTGTGGACAACATTGTTATTTTATATTTCATTATTGCAGACTGGACTATGTGATATTTTACTACTAATTGACCTGTCCCATTCTTTCTGCTAATCAGCCTATCCCATTCCACAGATGCAGAGGCACTATCTCCATCCTCGATGCGGAATATGCCGAATCACTTTCCCGAGCCGTATGGTGTATGAGCATCACATTGCTTCCATCAATCACCTACGGGTAAGTCTGCTTCTTTGTGTGTATTTGTACTTCCTCTCCTTTTTTCTCTTGTCTCTCCTCTCTCTCCTCTACTTTCTTCTTGTCTCTTCTCTCTTCTCTTTACTT